ACCTCGTGATCCACCCACCTCGGCCTCCCAAAGTGCTGGGATTACAGGCTTGAGCCACCGCGCCCGGCCGAGAAGTTTTTAATTTATTTATTTTTGAGACAAGGTCTGCTTTGTTGCCCATGCTGGAGTGCAGCGGTACAATCACAGCTCACTGCAGCCTCAACTTCCTGAGCTCAAGTGATCCTCCCACCTCAGCTTTCCAAGTAGCTGAGACCAGAAGCACACACCCCCACACCTGGCTAATTAAAAAAATTTTTTTTGTAGACACAGGGTCTTGCTATGTTGCCAAGGCTGGTCTCAAATTTATAGGCTCAAGCCTCCCAAAGTGTTGGGATTACAGGCATGAGACACCATGACCAGTAGAAGTTTTTAATTTTAATCAAGTCCAGGTTATAAATTTTTTTTTTTTTTTAAAGAGGGGGTTTCACCATGTTGGTCAGGCTGGTCTTGAACTCCTGACCTCAGGTGATCCGCCTGCCTTGGCCTCCAAAGTGCTTGGATTACAGGTGTGAGCCACCACACCTGGCTGCCAGCTTATCAGTTATTTATTTCATGGATCATGAATGTCATTGCCAAACCCAAGCTCATCTAGATTTTTTCCCATGTTGTCTTCTAGGAGTTTTAGAGTTTTGCACTTTACATTTACATCTATGATCCATTTTGAGTTAATTTTTGTAAAGAATGAAAGATGAAAGGTCTATGCTTAGGTTCACTTTTTTTGCATGTGGATATCCAGTTGTTCCAGCACGATTTGTTGAAAAAGAGTATCTTTTCTCCATTGTAGTGCCTTTTCTCCTTTGTCAAAAATAAGTAGACTTATTTTTGTGTGGGCCTATTTCTGGCCTCTCTATTCTGTTCCATTGATATATTTGTCTATCCTTTAATCAATACCACACTGTTTTGATTACTGTAGTTTTTTTTTTTTAAATTCCCGTTTGGTTCTTTGCATATTTTATTCCTTTGCTTTTTTTTTTTTGGTTGGTTTTGTTATTATTATTATTATTGTTATTATTATTATTATTTTGTTATTGTTATTATTTTTGAGATGGAGTCTCACTCTGTTGCCCAGGCTGGAGTACAGAGGCACAATCTTGGCTCACTGCAACCTCTGCCTCCAGTTTCAAACAATTCTCTTGCCTCAGCCTTCTGAGTAGCTGGGACTACAAGTGCATGCCACCACGCCTGGCTAATTTTTGTATTTTTAGTAGAGATGGGGTTTCACCATATTGGTCAGGCTAATCTAGAACTCCTGACCTCATGATCTGCTCACCTCAGCCTCCCAAAGTGCTGGTGATGACAGGTGTGAGCCACCATACCTGGCCTTTTGTTTTTGTTACAGACAGGGTCTTGCTCTGTCACCCAGGCTGGAGCCCAGTGGCACCATCACAGCTCACTGTAACGTTCAGTTCCTGCCCTCAAGCAATCCTTCCCCTTCAGGCTCCCAATGCACTGGGATTACAGGTCTGATTACAGGCTGGCCACGCCCAGCCCTACTGCAGCTTTATAGCAAGTCTTGATGTTGGGTAGTGTCACTCTTCCAACTTTGTTCTTCTCCTTCAATATTGTGTTGGCTATTCTGGGTCTTTTGGCCCTCCGAACAAAATTTAGAATCAGTTTGTAAATATCCATGAAATGATTTTCTGGGATTTTGATTGGAATTGTGTTGAAGACATAGATCAAGTTGGAAAGAATGGACATCTTGACAATATTGAGTGTTCCTATCTATGAACATGGACTATTTCCATTTATTTGTATCTTCTTTGATTTCTTATTCTTTTTCTTTTTTGAGACAGAGTCTTGCTCTGTCGCCCAGGCTGGAGTGCAATGGCACAATCTCGGCTCACTGCAACCTCTGCCTCCCAAGTTCAAGCAATTCTCCTGCCTCAGCCTCCTGAGTAGCTGGGATTACAGGCGCGTGCCACCATACCTGGCTAATTTTTGTATTTTTAGTAGAAATGGGGTTTTGCCATGTTGGTCAGACTGGTCTTGAACTCCTGGCCTTGTGACCCACCCGCCTCAGCCTCCCAAAGTGTTGGCATTACAGGTGTGAGCCACGGCACCTGGCTATCTTCTTTGATTTCTTTCATCAGAGTTTTGTAATTTTCCTCATGTAGATCGTATGCATATTTTGTTAGAATCATATGTAAGTATTTACTTTGGGACAGTGCTAATGTAAATGATACTGTGTGTTATTTGAAGACATTATAAACAGCAGTTCAACTCAAGAAGTGTAGCATCAGTAGGGTTCACAAATCAGCTGAAGTGATAACACTATGAACAGCTATGACTGGCTTCTCACAAATGTAGGCAAAACCTACCATGTTGTATGACACCAGTAGGATACAATATATCCTAATTTGGGGAAAATAAAATGTGCAAAAATGTGTGACTTAGAATTGATTGGCCTAGTGCAGTGGCTCAGATCTGTAATCCCAGCACTTTGAGAGGCCAAGGTGGGCGGGTCACTTGAGGCCAGAAGTTTGAGACCAGCCTGGCCAACATGGTAAAACCCCATCTCTACTAAAAATACAAAAATTAGCCAGTCATGGTGATACCTTGCTGTAGTCCCAGCTACTTGGGAGACTGAGGTTGCAGTGAGCCAAGATGACACCACTGCTGCACTATAGCCTGGGTGACAGAGTAAGACTCTGTATCAAAAAAGTACTTG